CTATATCTAGATTAGAAACCTCTATGCAAAAGGATGTTCAAAGGAATGTACTTTGAGTGAAAGACATCGTATCTAAGGAATTAACTTGTAACAATCTCCGATAGAGGATTTTGTAATATCATTGGCAATAGTCTTTGTGACTTTGGTGCAGTGACATTACGAAAGAATCATTGCATAGAATGTTAGAATCTAGCATATTCTATAAGTAGCAAGAATTTGATATTCTTTCACTTATGAAAAAGGATTTGGAGTTGTGAAATGAGAATGATTGGAAATGTGTTCAATGTGATCTATTTCACAAAGTAAGAACCATAGGTGAACATTTTGTGCAAGCTAGGAGCATGGGATAAGTGTTGTAATTCAAGTAAGAAGTTGATTACCCGAAACGACAAATAATGAGTAATCGATATGGTGATAAATAAAAGGAGTTTTATTTATACTCAAAGGGTTGAGGCCATATGGGATTAGTATTATTCTTGTGTTTCACTTTGCATGTTTTGACTTCCAGAATAATTGAGTTTATTAAGAATAATCAAATTATTCAAACGGACCACAGTCGTTTATATGTTGGAAGTAGATATGAATGAAGACTGTCGTGAATTGGTGTGTGGATTGTCTAAAAGAGTACTAGACATAAGCAAATGTTTGCTGCAACGTTCATGAGTGCTTATGAATATGAATTTGAGCATTGGATTAAACCCACTCTCACTTGGATCACTCCATGAATTGTATCACGAGTGATTGGTGAGACGATAACATCTTATATTCTTGAAACCAAGATGTGTGAGTTGTATCTTGCTAATCGGTTGCATATTGATAATATGTAAACGCACTAGTAACTTGGTGTTATAAAACATATTGTTGTGTGTGATTCGGTGAGTGAGTACAAGCAAGCATTGTATCAAATTTTATCCGTTCCTTTTATCCAAAGAAGGATAAAAGCGATATCTTTGGGCCCCTCGATGATTTAGTGATGACAAACGTAAATGCTCGGTTGGGCTAGGACTAATTTGATTTGTTCAATTAGTCAGTCATCATAAATCGGAGATCGAGAAATAGTACAAAGAGAATGATTAGAATTCATATCGCAGACAATATCTAGAATGGAGGAATATATGATCTCTTATCTAAGGACACGTGTATCTGATATGATCAGAGTTGACAGCGGCTTTGGAAAGCTACGATTGCAGATCAGGATCTGAAGTCATACATAGAATAGTTATTAGACTTATCCAAGTGGGATATTATTGGATTAGTGTCTAAGTCCATAACTATTTTGGTATGTACTTGACCCGATGGTGCATGGTCCTTTTGGGTTGCCTTCACCAAAGCAACTTGATTGGAGAAATAAATAAAGAGAGAGAGGTTATTATGATTTATTAATATGTTATAAGAATAATATATTAAAGGAGAAATCATATTTGTTTAATTAATAATGGTCAATAATTAATTAAGAATTAATTTTGTGATAAAGTGCAATTAATTAAACTAGAGGGGCTGAATTGTAATTATGTGATAGTTACAAAATAAGGTAAGGATTATCCTAAGTATTGGATGGACGAATTTAAGGTGATAATACCTTAGAATTCGACTATGATAAGGATTTAAGGATTATCTTATGGGTTGCTTGGTAACCAAGCAACTAGATAAGGATAAGGACTAAAACCCTAATCTTTACACCTATATAAACCCCCTAAGGCTCATGAATTCGTGTATCCCTTCCCAAGAGGTCCTAGAGACGAATTCTTATACCTCTCCTCTCTCTCTTTATACCTTCTCCACTTGCTCTTGGTGTTTGTAAGCCATTAGAGGAGTGACACTTGTGACTCTAAGCCTTCCAAAGTCAATTCAAGGAGGAATTAGGATTGTTATTGCTACATAACAATCAAGGTAATATCTTAAACCTAATTATATGTTAATATCGATTTCCATATGCTAGAATTAGGGTTTATAGTCTTGGATTCAAAACATGTACAATAGAGAAACCTAGATCCAAGCTTTAGGGTTTGTATGAGCACATAGGATGTCTTATGACGAAAACCCATCAATAACATGTCATGACTGATGTTTAATCCAAGTGGTTAGTTGATTGCTCAAAACATTATACATTGAATAAAGTCATAATTAATATAGTGATTAAATAATAAGCGTTTTGTTTATTTTCAATAGTTTTGAGACCATAGTTAATTAGGTTATTATTGCGTTTCACTTTGCTTGTTTTACTTCTTGAATAATTTGATTATTCGAAATTCCGTAGTTGTTCATACTTTGGGAAGTAAGTAGTGAAATAAGATTGTTATGAATTAAATTGTAGATTGTCTATAGAGATTAAACATAGCAATAGTTTTGCTGCAATGTTCATGAGTACTTAATAATGGGGATTTTAAGTATTGGATAAACCCACGCTCATAGAAGTACTTCATGGATTCTATCACGAGTAATTTTGAGACTATAATATCTTATATTCGTGAAACATAGATATATGAGTTGTGGTTTACGAGTTATTTGTGCATTGATAATACGTAAACGCATCAATAACTTTATGTTATAAAACATATTGTTGTGCCTGATTTGATAAGCAAATAGTACAAGCATATAAGTCAAAGTTTATTCGTTCCTTTTGGCCTAATGGGAAAAGCGATATCTTTAGCCCCTCAATGATTTGATTTCAACATCTGAAGTGCTTGGCCGAGCCCGGAGTAAATTGATGTGTTCAATTTGCAGTTTGAATTCAGTCCTCATAAATCAAGAAATGGGGAAACATAATCTTGGACAATGAGATTGATTTCAATTCATGTCTCGTGGCCATATGATATCTTGTAGAATGAAGGAATGTTTGATCACTTATCTTAGGATATGTAACCGGTTGGGTCAGAGTTCGACATCGGCTTTTAGAAACTACAATTTGTTGATCAGTTTGGAAGTTATACTGACAGTTATAGTTACAGACTTATCCAAGTGGCAGACTGTTGGATTGGGTGTCTAAGCCTATAACTATAATTGGTATATACTTGAATTGATGGTAGCACAGCCCTTTTAGGTTGCCCTCAAACCTAGCAATTGAATATGATAACTTTTAGAGAGAGAGAGAGACTAATTTATTAATTTATTATATGGTTAATAAATTAATTAGAGAGAGAGAGAGAGAGAGACTGGTTAATATATTATGAGAACAATATATTAATTAGAAATAGTAATATTAATTAAAAATTAATCCGAAATTAATTAGAATTAATTTTAGGATTAATTAAAAATGCAGGGGTTATAGTGTAATTATTCAATAGTTGAGTAAGAGACATTCTAGAACCATCCTAGAATCATAGGACAGTTTTATGGAGACTCTAGAGGGTTTAGAATTATCATTGGAGGATAATTAGGAAGGTGGATAATGACCCAATTCAAGATAATATTATTTTATTGGGTTTAGGCTTATCTAGGGTTTTCTTGTTACACTATAAATAGGACCCTCGGGCTATATTTTTCGCCCATGCCTTCTTAGAGAAGCTAGGCCCGAAATTTCCACATCTCTCCTCTCCCTCTTCAAATTCCTTGGTTGTTAGGGTTGGGGTGTGAACCATTAGAGGCATGATACTTGTGGTGCTTGCTTCCAAGAGTCTTTCAAGAAGGATTCAAGGTTGTTTGCAATAACAATCTTTAGGGTAAGTTTATTGTTCTTATGAATTAGTTTTTCATAGGAAAGTTTTGTAGAATGTCATTTCATAGTATGTTGTTTACATGTGAAAGACATAGATCCTTATTAGGTTGCATGTGCACTAATCATTTACTTGTTTAAATGTTTTTCTGCTTAGAGAATTGTAGTTGTAACCATAATAACCCATCAGAAATATACCCTTGTGCTGGTCCGATGATTGTATGTTGGATTGAAACATACCCCAGGATTAGGCCCAAGATTGTATGTTTGGTTGGAATATACCTTAGGGTTAGGCCCAACTGTATGTATGGTATGAGGTATTTTGGGAAATTCACTAAACTTTGTGCTTACGATTTCGTTTATAAATGTTTTCAGGTACTTTTGGTTTCAAAAGGAATGGCCCGGCTTGATCTTACTGCATCCCCTGAAGATTTATTCTGCAATGATTGTTTATGATTTTAGACTGTTGTTTTGATAATACTTTTACTTTGATTGTCTTTTGGGATAATGAATGAATGGTTTAACTTATTTAAAATGAAAATTTTACTCAGTATTTTTGGGACGTTACATACTCTTCACTTTAACCACGCCCTCTTTATGGATCATAGGCCTTAGGCTCTTGAAACTCTCATTTTGGTGTAAAACTTGGTGTCCTATGAGACTTCTATTCCTTCGTAATTTTGTTCCCCACTAAAATTGCACCAAATGTATTGTCTTTAATTTATTGATTTTACGTCTTTTTTCTTCATAAGATCTCTTCAACATGTCTAACCTAGCGTCCAACTCATTCCTAGTATCTGTCACCACACTGACATCACAGAACAATATCGTCGGCAAAAGAACATACACCATGATACTTCTCTTTAAGTCCCGCAAAAGATGTCATCCATAATTGAGAATATTTTCGAAATGATGAGAAAAAGGCGCTAAGATTACGAATATTGAAAAACAATATGATGTACCTTGATCTCATAATATTAAAAATAAAGTGACAATATTTACAAAATTGTGAGGAATATTGAAAAGCAATATGATGTACCATGATCTCACAATATTAAAAATACAGTGACAATATTTACAAAATTGTGAGGGAACATTATTGATCAAATAAAAGTAAGAATATTTATAAAATTGTGAGGGATCATTATTGATGAATTTCCTATCTTTTAGCAATTTTTAATGGGTTGTTATTTTTTGTTATCGTTCATGTTTTATTGGAAAAAACCTAATATATCACCAAAATACCCCTATTGTAAAGCATCTAATCCGGCTACCATACTATGTTCTATGTTTGGTAAGCTAGCTGGTTGCAAAAAAACCAGAAAAACAAATTGAAATGCAAATAGATCAACCAAAACAAAAAATTCTCCAAAAATCACATGATCAAATAATAAACTGAAACATGCCTCATAAGAATGTACACCAATGCAACGTCCAAAAATAATCACCTATCGAATATCATACACACCAAACAAAATACTCCAATCTTCATCATCATTATTAATCAATCAGTACAAAGAGTTGTACGTGAAACAAGTGGCAACAATCGACATTATGCAAATCACAAGTGAAGGCAACAATGTGACATTCAAAAGTTTGCTTTCCCCTAAATACCCTGCAAGTGTGATTGTGCCATCTGCAATCACCCGAGCAATCGTTCCTGCTTCCGTTGATAGCAGCCCCCCATTGAATGTCCCACGTGACAGCCTTGATGACATCACCCGTGACAGAAGCGCCAAATTCACACCTGATGCAATTCAAAAACGAGTCTTTTTGTTTATGGGGACATGACATAGGGACTTAATGGGTTAAGCACTTAATCATGACAACTTACCTTCTAACACTTCGGCTGAGACAAACATGATGAGTCCCGAAACAACATATTGTGGGACGGAGTACGGAAGGATGACATGAAAGCTCATGAGAATACCGAAACAGACCATGATTTCAGATGCCAGTAAAATTTGTCTGAAAAACATAAATCAAATATATTACAGTAATTACATATAATTATCTAAATAATCAGAAAAATCTTCATCTTAAGATGTTGCTTTTTTACCTGTCTTCAAACATGTTGCTGATGTAGCTTCCAACAATCATATTGACAGGAAGAACAGTCAAACCGAGACACGCAAGAAAGATTGCAACTTTTCCAGTAGTCCAACCGAAGTAATATGTGGTAACAACACTAGATTCTGAAAGCAATATCTCCATCGCGTATTTCAACATGAAATAAATCAAAAGTTGAACCTGAAAATTAAGTAGTAAAGTCAAAGATAGCAGTCAAAGAACGCAATACATTTCATATGATATATGAAGTCAAACCTTGACCGAAGGCGTGAGCAATCTGTAGGCTGCTCCTATAGAATTAATGGGTGCACGTGAATCTTCTGTAGTTTCTTCACTAACATCACATTCTTGGTCTTCATCTTCTTCATCATTGTGTGGCTTAGAACTTATGAGCAGTGGTTGAGTAGTTGAACCCTTTTCAAGAACATCGCTATTCGTGGGAGCTGGAGTTTCAATCCATAAAGTCAAAGTCAAAATCTAGTATATCTGATTATTTAATAAATAAAATAGAAAAAAAGAGGTACCCGTGGTAGATTCGGGTGCATGATTCTCATCCCTTGGTTGACCAGGTTCTCTAAAAGAGATCCATAACCAAATTAGATAAATCAACCATGAAAAAGACATAATCCAACCAGGGGCTGTATTTTGGTCAATTGTGAGCTTATAAAACTTGAATTTGACTTGTAACAAACCAGCAAGTGCGGGCCCACAAGCCATTCCAAGAGCACTTGCACTAACAAAACCTGCAGAAGCCTGCATCCGGATCTTTAAAGGCACACAATCACTGATATACCTTCTGTTCACAGCTCTAGCTGAACCAAGCCTGTGATCGTCGTCAATGTCAAAATAAGGTGTGAGTTTTGACTTTTCAGGTCAAAAGTCAAAATAAATAAAATTACAAAATTTTGAGCTCACCCGCAAAACACACGACCAAGTAAAAGCACTGTAATGGAGTTCATATCATAAGCCATTGCATACATGACATTACCCATGAAAAGAACAATGCTGCTAAAGATCAATGGTCTGAAATAAGATCTGTTTGACCAAGCACTGAAATAAACAGAAGAAAACAACTGTGCAACAGCCATGGCACCAATCACAATCCCACAAACTGTTGCAGCAGCTCCTAGGCTCATTGAATAGTCATCTGCTGTTGGAACAATGATATAAGTGTTGACCATGTAAAGAAAGGTGTTGACTAGGTTCAACATAAGTGACATGAAATGGTATCTTTCATCATCGATGTGTTCTTCCAAAGGTGTTGGTAATTCCTCTTGCATGATCAGAGCATGTTGCCCTAAAAAGGTCAGGAAATTTGTTGAGTAGCTTAATCTGTCCACTGCTGCTATTATGGTGTCGATTATTGGTTCCTACAAACAACTTGGTTAGGGTCAAATGTATTTTTTTTTTTTAAAAAATAGCAACCTACTTTCATTGATTTGTTTATTATAACATCATAGTAAGAAAGAAGATTGAAAGTACAATGTTATTTTCTTAAACCTGGAGAGGAAGAGCGGGTTGATCATAAATTGATAGATAGCTCCCTTGACGATCTTGAAGCTCTGCAAGATTTCTAGAAATGGCACCTACCACTGCACCTAAACCCTGCAAATTCCATTACATGATTATTACAACAAAATATAAAATAAAATAAAAAGATGAAGAAGAAAATATAAAATACATTACCACATGCTTAAAGACTTGCTGAAGTTGAGAATAAGGATGATTTGCCCGAGTTTTTACATAGTAATCAGTAAATCTATAACCGAAACGTTTATCAAATTTCTTGAGAATTTTACGCAACCCAACTGCATTAATCTCAACAAAAAACAAAAGCTTCAATAAATCTCTTCCAACTTCTCTATATGATTCCCTTAATTCATTTATCTTTACAAAATCTGGTTCCTCTTGAAGAGCATCTTGTTGTAACCCAAGCTCCTCTAATCTGCTTGCAAGCAGCCCTTGTTGCTCAAGTAGAAAAAGAACAATCTTCTCAATCTGTGCATGCATATAAGTTTGATTTTATTGTATACAATTTTGGTTTGATTTGAATTGTATAAATTTAAATTTTACCTGGTTATCGAGCATTCTTGAAAAGTCTTTGAGGACATATCTGCGTTCTACACCTCCTGCCTCAATCTGGCGAGCATATTGTTTCACCTTTTTCTTCATGAGTTTGTAATTGATGTAATATCTGAAAATTTGGGAAGTTGAGACAAATTGTAAGCATGATTTTAAAGGTGGTCAAATGCTCAAATTAAGATGCCTTTTTGTGCAAAATGCAGCATACCCATTCCATTCTTCAATCTGTCTATCCTTCAGCTTCTTCCCAAAAGCAACCATCTTTCACTGCACAAAGTTTAGTAAAAAAACAAAAATTAGAAAACAAAATGTCCTGAAAATGATAGAATACCCAATTTAGATCATATCCATAACCAATTTTCTCAAATTCCAATTCGAAGACACCAAATCAAGTTCCCAATTTTGAATTGGTGCAAGATGGGTTCAGGATTTAGGGTAGAAGACTTCCAAAAGGATTTCTAAACAACAAATTATATGCTCCCAAACATTACTTGAATCTATGTTGCATGATCAGTAAACTCCACTATGGAGCACTCATGGATCATCAATCTATAACTCAAAACAACAATCCATTCTAAATTAGCCATTCTTGTACTCAAATTAAGAAACTTAATTGGAAAATTTTAAATTGTGAACATCAAATTCAGAAAGATTTAAGTAAGGCGAAAGAGCTACAGCAATATATATAACAAAATACACAATAAAGCAGCGACTTCTATAAGCAAGAACTCGGTAAAAACGCCCAACTGCAGAAACACGATAGAACTTCTTGTACTCTGTTTTTTATTTTTCAAACAAAGAAACCCGTTTGGGGAAACTCAAGTTACAATACTATATCGTTTTTGTGATTTCTTGATTCAAATAAAGAAACCCAATCGGAGAAACTGACATCCGAAAAAATTAATTCATCAAGAAAGTAACCTAACCTCTATTGGGCAGCTTCAATGAGCATCAACAAAGATGCAAAAGGGGAAGATTTGTTTTTTCTCTGAATAACAGGGGATTTGGGGGCTGCTGAGCAAGTGTATTTAAAAGAATCAAAATTGATTAAACTAATTTTCCGAAAATAGAGCAGGTAGGATTTGACTGTAATTTCTAAAAAACTATGCTAGATTTACTGGGTAGGCGTTCCGTGATGTAGGCAGAGAAACTATGAAGGGTGACAGAATGAGAATGGTGGATAATTGGAGGGTGGACTGGTGGCGCTCATCATCTTTGTTTTGTTCTCAATTTCACCCCTTCGTAACTTCGCTTTCGTTTTCCTTTTTGTTAATTTGATAATTATAAGAATAAATGGGATTTACCCAAAAATATTTAAAATAATTATATTACTTTTTGGATTCAATCGTGAGGTCAATTCCATCTTAATATTTTGAGGTGACAGTTGTTTAATTATGATCCACTAAATAATAATAATATTCTTCAAAAACCTACCAAAAATATACTCACGGCACGTATCATGGTAAAGATTAATACGATATTTCCTTTTATAATAACGTTTTATTAGTATATTTTGTTATTTATTAAAGAAAAAGACGTTAACGATATCGACCGTAGTTCAAGAATTCGTATTCGGTAGTTGAAGTTTGTACCTAGTATTACACTTTATTTAGAAGTTCAATCAATTAAATTGTTCAAAACTATTTGATTTTACATTCTTAGCTTCTCTAAATATATTAAACAAATAAATCCATTTGTTTTAAACAACTCTCTTAACAGCGCAGTCCCAGAGGTGTTCAAAATGTTCCATCATTAAGGTTTCTGGAAAAAATAGGACCCAAAAATCATCATTATTTACTAAGGTTATATTATATACAATGTTGTTATCATATTTTTGTAGGTGTACGTGTATTTATAAATTAACCGGAGATCTTTTCTAAAACGTTTGGTGCAAGTGAATTGGGTTGGGTGCAGAGGCTACATTAGGAGGCTCTTTTAACTTACCTTAGTTAGATTCATAGTACCCCACTTTTATTAGTTCTTTTTATCTTATACAATAACGCAATATATAATAGAAAATCCCTCTATAATTTTAGGATTTTTATATAAATGTATTTTTAGAGGATTTCTTTTTTATGTTTGTACGGGTCTAAAATAACTCAGAACCGGCCTTGTTTATTAATGTGAGTATATCAAACAAAGTATATATAACGAAAAAATGTATTCCATACCCAATATTTGTTATTTTCATACGTAATTAACATGTGACACATCACTTTTTTTTTTTTTGAGAGAGAGAGAGAACATATCACATGGTGACTCTCATGGTGAGCAGCAATGTCGGTTTTCTTTTTTTCATTTTTTTTCTTTTTTGTAGTTATGTGGTTCTTGAAATTATTATTTTTTTTTCATAATATTGCGGTGTTAATGGCTTTTTATTTATTTATTTATTTTTAATCGTATCAAGAAACAATTTTTTTTTTCTCAAATGTAAAAATCAAAAATTATAAATGGAACTCATTTATTTAAGATAAGATCAATTAGAGTATTATAATCAAACATTACAGAAAATGTACATATTAATCTATACACATGTATGCCATTTTTTTATTTGAATGTTAAAAATAGATGTTACTGTAAACTAAATTAAACAAAAATGACAGAAAATGTACATATTAATCTATACAGATGTATGCCATTTTTTAGGCACTATAAGAATTGTTCAGCATGTCTTCTTTTTAGCATTTAAAAATTGTTTGTTTAGTGGAAAACAAGGTGTAGATCCTTCAATATCAATCTTGATAATTAGATCCACAATAAAGGCTATTAACAATTAAATGATTTAATGTTTAAAATATGATTTATTTTTTAATTGTGCGAATCAACGGAAGAACGTGTATAGCAAGACATTAGACATCGTTTGCTTAAGTGATTACACTATTATTATAAAAGTCAAAATCCTACTCTTTGTATGTTTAGCAACATATACAAGAAGTTAAATTTAAAGATATATTATCACAACAGCTAATATAACAATTTTGAGTATCATCAAAATACAATAATTTCTAAAAAAAATCAAATTAATTTTATCGCAAATAATTTAGTAAATGGAGAACAAAATTACGTAAATTTAACACCAAATCTCTATCAAATTCTCAGCCATACACTAAAATCACCACCTTAAAAACTTATATTTAATATTTTAGTAAAAAAAAAATTCGATTTTGATACCATGTTTTTTTTTTGTGTTAATTTCGATACTGTGTTTTCAAATTTGTTACAATTCTGACCACTTGATCGGTTAACCAGGTTACATGATGACGTGACATGATGACGTGTCAGTTTTGATGACGTGACATGCTGACGTGTCAAAATTGAATTTTTTTCTATCAAGAAACACTCAGTTTTCATTTTTTTCGATTTTGACACTATGTTTTTTTGTTTCAAATCGAACATCATTTTTTCCAATTTTGTTCAATGTTGACAATTTTTTATTTGAAACCGTATAAATATTTTTTAATATATTTAAACCGTATAAATATATTTTTTTTTCATTTAAAAACCATAGTTTTGTATAAATACATTTTTTTAACACTCAAACCATATTTTTATATATAAATATGTATTAGTTATATAAAAATTGTATTTTATATTAAATATGGAACTTTAAAATGTGTTTGGAGGTTGGGAAGCGTGTAGTCGATCAAAACTCATATATCAAATTTATAACACATCAGATTTTTACATCTTATTAGAAACTTATGGTTAGTTTGATTCTCATGATATAACTAATGCTTTGAATGTAAGAAAAAAAACACATTGTATTTAAATAAAAATGTGGTTTTTAAACGAAAACAAATATATTTATACGGTTTAAAATATAATAAAAAAAATATATTTATACGTTTTGAATGGAAAATAGATAAAATTGAACAAAATTTGATAAATGATGTTTGATTGGAACAAAAAAAAACTTGTGTCAAAATTGAAATAAAAAATTAAACTTAGTGTCAAAATCGGAAAAAAAAAAAAAAAAAAAAAAAAAAAAAAAAAAAAAAAAAAAAAAGTGAAAACTTAGTGTTTATTGTGGAAAAAAAATCAATTTTGATACGTCAGCATATCATGTCAGCATGCCACGTTATCAAAACTGACACGTCATCATGTAACCTGGTTAACCAGTCAAGTGGTCAGAATTGTAACAAATTGGAAAACACAGTGTTAAAATTGACACAAAAAAAACACAGTGTCAAAATTGAATTTATGTGTAAAAAGAGTGTTTTTTGTGTCATTTACCCAAAAAAAAACATCTTATCTATGTTGTTATTATATCTTTTGCCCATCATACTGACTATGAACAAAACAAAGGCATTTAAGGGGATCCACCACCCAAGATGTGGACATATATCAAACCTACAAAGATAAAAAGGTATGCTAAAGAATAAAAGAACCAATCTAACTTAATTCAACTTATATGTGACATTCTTGGTAATCATCTTAGCACGAGAAACTTGATTAAATTGTTAATGTAGATAACTATTAGATGAATAAAACTGTTATTTCAATCTATACATGCCAAATATGAGATATCGAACCCATGTCCTTGATCAATTATATAATGGTACAAGTGAGATCTACTCATCTGCACATTATAAACGAAATCCAAGATTTGAATATGAATTGAATAATAATATATCAATGAGTTGTCGCTTTATAGTCTTTTATAAACTTATGAAGAATAGATACAAAAGAGAATAATGAAAAGGGATTCAAATAATGTATGCTCACTAAGATGTGGTTGTCTATATCATACACCTACAAGACTACAAGATTTAAATTCATGTGATTATTATAATACTCACACGACCCACCAATCTTTTTCTTTTCTAAACGTTATTATTAAAATATGTGTCTCTGTATACACATATATCATGGGCAAAAAATTGCTTTCATTTAATGGGTCAAAATCGTTGAAAAGCAATAATTATGGAATGTTTTTTTTTAATGACAAAAAGACGATATATAAAAAAAAAAAAAAACACTACTAGATTCTATTGGTGCCCAAACTTGATTTTAAATCGGGTCCAGGCCACTTTAGAAAGCGATCCGGTTTTCTCCCAATGAATCATGAATATTGAATACACACCGGTTTTTGCCAAAAGCAGATGGGTATTAAACCAGTTTTTTGGCAGAAAACGTATGAACCTATCTATAACCTAACTAAAACTTATTTGGTAAGCCGCAATTTTTCTATATTTTATCGAAAATTGATTTGTGTCAGAATTTAAGGATGACATTCGTTGATCAGAAATGACCATGGATACTTCAAATTTCAAATAAAAAAAATCTATAACTTAGGCTTTAAATCAAAATAAACAAGTCACTCTTAGCACATTATACTCGAAAGATTTTAGTAGGGTAAAAGAGCTACAAGCAGCAATTTGATTAAAGAGTGACTCATACTACTTTAAGGAGGGTAGAATTCATCTCTTTCTAAGTCGCAACAAAAAACACACACAAAAGCAGCAATTTTTCGCTCTTTGTTGTGATCTTTTTTTCAATCACAAAACCCAATTCGATAAAGTCGAATCAAGATATAATAACTTAGAATTCGAATAAATTATAACACTAAGAAGAGAAACCTAACCTTTATGGCTTTATTGGGATTTGGGGTGTTACAACGAGCACAAGCGAACACACAATTACAAAAGGTGGATTTTTTTTTGTTTTTTTTTTCTCAGGAGAAGAGGGATATGGGGGACTGGTGAGTGATGTGTTTAAAGATTCCAATTTAATTGAACAAATAATTATCCGAAAAAGGGCAGGTGGGTTTGACTGTAATCCCAAGAAATTAAGCTGCAATTTGGTGTTTTGGGTGTTAAGGAGTTTGGAGGGAATAGTTGCGCTGATCCTCTTTATATAGTTCTCAATTTCACTTTTTCTTTCGTTAAGATGACAATTACTCATGGGATGATGGGATTTAGTCAACATTTAATACTTATTATTGATGAAACCCCATAAACATTTAGTATTTATTCGTGGGTCATTTGCCTCTTTATGCTTTGCCAAGGACAAATGCAACAAAAACAATATTGAGACATTGAGGTGACAGTTGTTTAATCGTCATCCAACAAAATGATAATATTGTTTATATAAATTCCAAAAGGATATACTCATGGTATCTACAATGAGCTGATACAAATTTCTGTTACACATCAACAATCAAAGCAAGCTTTTTGATGTTCTTCCTTCATCTTTGTCCTTGTTCATTGACCAGGAGAGATACCAATGGGAGGAGGCAACAAAAAGATATAGCTAAGGTTTCAATAAACAGTTTAACATAATCCTTGACATGT